CACACACGCACACACGCACACACGAACACACGAACACACGAACACACACGAACACACATTCGAACACACACGAACACACACACACACACACACACACGAACACACACACACGAACACACACACACGAACACACACACGAGAACACACACGAGAACACACACGAACACACACGAACACACACGAACACACACGAACACACGAACACACACGAACACACACGAACACACACGAACACACACGAACACACACGAACACACACGAACACACACGAACACACACGAACACACACGAACACACACGAACACACACACACAAACACACACAAATACACACAAACACACACACACACGGGTCATCGGCCCCTCGAGAAGATCAAACGCACCCTCGTCTCTCCCAAAAGGCCCCTCCGTGCCCCGAAGACGAAACGAACCGCACAACATGCAACTCCTGGATGTCCTCGCAGACCCCCCTCCCTTGCGCGGGTCGGCCCTGGACCCCCCTCCCTTGCGAGCGGAGCGCGCCAGGGGTGGCGCCGCAGCGACCGCCAGGTGGGTGCCAGCGCCGATCCAGCAAAATCCGCGCGGACCTTCGACAGATTCATGTTTACGCGAGCCTCGAGGCAAGAGGCCCTGAGATTCTGTGGAGTCACATTTTGTGGGCACTGGGCGTTTTCACATAATTTCGAGCCTCGGGACCCTATGTATCGGCAGAACAGCACTGGGGCCCAGTAAAAGGGCCCCGGGAAGCCAAAAACAGCCGCAAACCTTCCGCCGTGCTTTGCTTCACAGCGCGAGGATGAGGAGGAGGAGGAGGACGAGGAGGAGGAGGAGAAGGCGGCCTCGCCGCGCCACGCTCTGGGCCCGTGATTCGCCGCGGGGGCGGCCGTTTGCCTTCTCCCCACAATGCACTTCGTTTTCGCTTCGTTTTCGCTTTCCCTCGCTTTGTCTTCGGCCCGCCTTTGCTGCAAAACGAAGACTCGAAACGAAAACGGCCCACGAAATCGCCATCCCTCAGATCTGAAGCTGCACAAACAGTGCGACCTCGCAAAATAACCACGACGCTGGCCACAGGCCTAATCCTTCTGCGGCACTCTGCGAGCCCGATCGGTCTGACGGGGCCCACTGGCCCGGAGGCGGGCAGACACGCCCGGTGCGGACACAAATGCATCACGCCTGGAGCTGAGCTAGGGCTCCCAACTTCGCGCTTCGCGCTCCGCGAAGCGCGAAACGCGAATAACTTCGCGCTCTCGCGCCGCCCCCCCAAAGGGAGAAAAGGAGGACGAGGAGGAGGGGAAGAAGGAGCGAGGACCGCGAAGCGCGAATAACTTCGCGCCCTCGTGGGAGCCCTTGCTGAGGGAGGCCGTGGCCGCCAGGCCCAACGTGTGCCGGTGCCCCCTGCGCATCGGGCCTCGCGTTCTCGGGCGGGGCTCGCCGGAGGTGCACTCTCCCGCTTTACCCCGAGGGCGGCCGCGCGGATGCCAGGGTGCTCCCCAGGGCGCCCGCCCGTGAGGCACTGGCGGCTCTCTGGAGGCCCGGGGGGGGGGCCGCGGCCCGCCAGGGTGCGAGTCGGAGATCGACTGATTACATACTGGGTTGAACCCAAGCTTGGCACTTTGTCGACAAATCTCTGCGGAGCAGATGCGTAGACCGTCCGTAGATCTACGAACATGATACGGATGTTGTGTGGGTTCGGCGAAGAGGTAATCCTGGGCTAAATCAAATACACGTCGGTCGGAAAGAATAGGTAAAAACATGGAGCCGGAAGGCGGATCAAGTGGATTGGGTCCAGGCCCTCCCAGAGAATAAGGAAGCACAGCAAAAGCATGTCGACTCTTGAACCTGAAGGCGCTTGAAAGCGATTGGACCATGAGCATCCCAAAAGACCCACTTTCATCGACAGGCGCGAAACTCTGTAGTCGATCTCCTACTCGAAAGGTTCCTCCCTGAGCTTCCCTGGGATTCAGCGCCCCTCTCACGGGGACTCCACTGACGGGTACTTTGGCCAGTGGCCAAGCGAACCCAACCCTCTCCGATGTGGGCAACGCTGCAATGCCAGAAAGAGGCCCTAAAGCGGCAACTTGCGGCACATCTCCAAAGTACCCGTTAATGAGTACCCGTTACGGTGCCGCTGAGGGATCCTGGCGCCGCGCGCGCCGGACGCGCGGCCGCCCGCCGCGGTCGGGCCTGTCGCGGGAGCCGCGGCGCCGGTCCTTGCCGCCGCCGCGGTCGGGGCTGTCGTCGGCGCCGCGGTCCCTGTCGCGCTTGGGGGGCCTCCTGCCGGCAGCACGAAGGGGCGTCGTCGTCGTCGCCGCCGTCACCATCCCCCCCACTCTCCATCATCAACAACAGCATCATGTTCAATATCATCATCACCATCATCATCAGCAGCATCAGCATCAGAATCAGCAGCAGCAGCATTATCATGATCACCCTCAACACCATCACAATCACCATCGCCATCACCATCACCATCACCATCGCCATCACCCACACCACCACCATCATCTTCACCCTCATCGTCATTATTATCAACGTCGTCGTCATCTTCATCATCATCATCATCATCATCATCATCATCGTCATCATCATCATCGCCTCCATCATCATAATCGGAATCATCAGCATAATCATCATCATGATTGTCATCATCATCATCATCATTATCATTATCATTATCAGCAGCAGCAGAAACATCATCATCATCATCAGCTTTATCATCATCATGATCATCATCATCATCATCATCATCATCATCATCATCATCATCATCATTATAGTCGACATCATCATCATCATCATCATCATCATCAGTATCGTCATCGCCAACATCACCACTACCATCATCATCGTCGTGGCCATCATCGCTATCACTATCATGGGAATTATCATCATCATCAATTTCATCATCATCGCCACCATCATCGTAATCGTAATCATCATCATTACCCGTAGCAACACAATCTTCAATCATCAATCACATCCCGCATCATCACCCCCGTCACCACCATCATCATCATCATCAGCAGCATCATCATCGGCATCATCGGCGACATAATCATCAACAGCATCATCATCACCACCATATTCAGCATCAACATCATCATCAGCATCATCGTAATGAACATCACCATCATCATCGTCGTCATCCTCATCATCATCATCATTTCTATTTTCATGTTCGTCTTCATCCCCATCATCATCATAATCATCCTCAACATCACCATCATCATGATCATGATCATCATCATCATTGCCATCTTCATCGCCTTCATCATCATAATCAACATCATCAGTATCACCACCACAATATTCGTCCTCGTCCGCATCCTCATCCCCAGCCTCATCTTTCTTCTCATCAACCATCCATCACAGACATCGCCATCGCCACCATCATTGCCGTCGCCATCGCCATCGCCGTCATCATCATCTCTTGCCAATATTCCTTCGCTCTCTCGTCCTCTCGTCCGCCCCACCCCTACATACAGCTCCCCTTTCGCATCCCCCTGCGGCGGCGAAGGGGGCGTTCTTCTCAGAAGGCGGGCGGGGGCTTCTCGGGGAGGGGCAGATGTTTTTGAGAAGCCTTGTTGAAAGGCGAGACCAACCTAGGAAGGGGTGGTCGAGGGGGGGCGGGCAATCTCAGAACGCAGGAGAAGCTGCATGGATGCCCTCCCCGCTTCTGAGAACCCTCCTACGACATCTCGAGAGGGGCTTTCTGAGAAGGGCCGTGGGGGGAGGGGGCGGCGATTTATAGAGGAGAACAAACAATTATATAAACAAAAAAACTCACGGATCGGCGCTGGATCCCCCCCCTCTGGCGCGCGGAGAGCGTCAGAGGCGGTGCCGGAGGCGCCGCCAGGGGGGTGCAGCGCCGATCCGAGAAATCCGCGCAGACGTCCGAGTTGTTATGTTGATGTCGTTGCCAATCTTGCTCTGTGGCTGCATCCCACATCAGGGTGACACAATCACACCGCGAATCAAAATGTCGCTGGGCAAACCCGGAACACCGCACAGTCAGACCTGCAACAAGCAATCTCATGCTGCAATCCACAACACGTCTAGTAAGGATGCGCAGTAAAGATGCCAGGGCCTTGGATGGCCATGTCGCCACTTTGCGAGCGGGGCGCGGCCAGCGAAAGCGGCCAAGGATGGGCCGAAGGGCAACATTAGAAAATGGCCCATCCTTCCTGTGCGGGTTGACTGCACGCACCGTGGCCTGGACAACAGAACGACCACCGCCGGCGCCGACGGCCGGGACCCCATGCGCGCCCCGCGGGCCTGCCCCTCCCCCGCGAGGGCGCGTGCGCGCGGCCGCCCCCCCCCCCCCCCTCCTCCTCCTCCTCCTCCTCCTCCTCCTCCTCCTCCTCCTCCTCCTCCTCCTCCTCCTCCTCCTCAGAAGGCTTGGGCGGCGCCTCAAGCCTTCTGAGAGCCCCAGCGGGGCACGAGGCACTGCGCCAGGCGTGGCCCCACGAGGGACTGCGAACCTGCCCGAGGGACTGCGCCAGGCGGGCCTGCCCGGGGCGCGCTCCGAGGCGGCGCGGGGGCCTCTGGGAGAGGCCCCCTGCGCCTCCTCGGCACCCATCGGCTGCACGCAAGAAGTGACCCCTGGGCGGAGGAGGAGGAGGAGGAGGAGGAGAGGAGGAGGAGGAGGAGGAGGAGGAGGAGGAGGCGCAGAGTGGCCTAGTCCACGCGCGCAGGCCACCCTGGCGGAAGGGCCACCCTCGCACGTGCAGTGCCGTCCGGCCCAGGCCCCCCCCGACGCCGCGACGTTGGCGCGGCGTGGGCCAGAAGCCCGGAGAGCGTTTGGCCTTTTTTCGCGACAGCGGCCGCGGCCGGCCCCGGCCGTCCCCCTCCCCCCTCCCCCTCCCCCTTCTCCTCTTCCTCCTCCTCCTCCTCCTCCTGCTCCTCCTCCTCCTCCTCCTCCTCCTCTCCTCGCCTCCTCCTCCTCTTCCGCCTCCTCCTCCTCCTCCTCCTCCTCCTCTTCCGCCTCCTCCTCCTCCTCCTCCTCCTCCTCCTCCTCCTCCTCCTCCTCCTCCTCCTCTTCCTCCTCCCTCCCCTCGGGTGACGTCACGCTTCGTGCCGACGACCTCCGACTTGCCTTCGGCTACCCCTCCTCGCCACTCCCGGACGGCAGCTGCGCGACACGTGACGCCGCTTCCTGGCCCCCCGCCTCCCTCCTCGAGCGGGGCCTGACCGACCCCTGGCAAGCCGTCCCCTTCCGTGACGTCATCCTCGCCGTCCGAGCTTCCCTCCGGCCGCATGCATACGCCTTGGGGCGAGGCGAGGGGCACGTCACGGAAGGGGAATGGTTTGCTAGGGGTCGGTTAGGCGCCCCCCTGACCTCCCCCCCCGCGGCAACGCCCACTGTCAAGACATCCAGGAATCGGACCGAGAAGTTGGATCGGTGGTCGACATGAAGCGGATCGGCTGGACTCGGCAGCCGAGTCGGGAGAGGTCGACTCGGCGGAAATCGGCAGGCTAGTGAGCCTCCATTTAGAAATCGAAATCCGAATCGGGAACCGAAATCGAATCGCATCGGAACCGGCGCCATCGAAATCGACTCGAACCGAATCAGAGGAATCGAAACGAGCCCTGCGCTGTCGCCCGGGAATGGAAACGCTCCCATGTGTCCCTTCCCCGGGGCCCAGCTTCGCATCCCGTGTACAGTGGAGGCTCGTCCACAAGAAACCTTCAACGAGAAACCGAACCCTAAGACCCCAGGACGTCCATTGATTCTTGGTGTGGGCACATCACGCTTACCATAGCAAAACCATCGAAACCCAAGAAGCCCAGGTCAACGTTTTCTTATTCGGCGTTTCGACATTGGGCGGAAGGAGGGGGCGAGGGGGGGGTCTGGCTCCGGACCTCTGCTTTGCGCGACTGTTTGTAACAGTGTGTCCACTATGGGGAGACTGCACCTGCTTGAAACAGGCGCCACACACACAGCCAAGATCTACTCCATGGGGGGGGGGGGGGGGCGAGGGCCTGCGCCCATCGGCAAAACGATGAATACGACAACGAAACACCTGGAATTGGGGATCCCAAAACCGTGCGGTGACAGACCGTGCGGTGACCTCGGGCACCCCAAGAGACCGCACCGCACGGTCCGTCACCACACGGTTTTGGGACCCCGGAGGCCCGTCGCCCGAGACCCCCTCGGAGAGGGACTCGAGGCCCCGAAGCCGTGCGGTGACCCCGACTCCCCACCGACTCCCCACACGGTGCGGTCACCGCACCGTCTGGGGGCCCTATGGAGGCACGAAGGGTGCCTCTCGGCATGGGCCTTTCTGCTGCACTCGCCTCTGCCGAGGGCCCCGCAGGGCCCCGCAGCGGCCTCCCCAAAACGGCGCCGACAGCTGCCCGGAGGAGGAGGAGGAGGAGGAGGAGGAGGAGGAGGAGGAGGAGGAGGAGGAGGAGGAGGAGGAGGAGCTCCTGCAGCGCTGCCCCGTCCCGACGCCTCGGGGGGGCCTCGGCCCTCAGGAGGCAGAAAAAAAAAACAGGAGGCAGAAGACAGGACAGACCCTGCCTTCCCTGTCTCCCCCGTCCTCGGTAGAATCATAAGAAGAAGAAGCCGCATAAACATCAACGTTTGGCGCTCCGCGCGGATTTCTTGGATTCGCGCTGGACCCCCCTCCCTGGCGCGCGGAGCACGCCAGGGGCGGCGCCGGAGGCGCAGCCGGGGGGCCCAGGCGCGGATCCAAGAAATCCACGCGGAGCGCCAAAAGTTTGTGCTTATGTGGTTTCTTCTTCTCCGATTCGGGCTTTCTCTGTCCTCCCTGTCTTCTTGGTTTTTGTCTGTCTTCGGGTTTGTTCTGTCCCCGCCAGCCGCTCGGGACCACTCGGGCAAACCCCCTGAATGAAGAAGCTCTCGGCGAGGCGCACGGCACAGCTGCAGGAGAAGGCATATATGCCGAGGCTGGAGCCCCAATATGGAGGAGCAGCACACTGTTAGGTCGGGCATGTCCTCCTCTATGTGGACTTTGACAAGGAAATGCGAGATAGCCAAACATATGCAGTAACAGCCCACACATAGTCAAAAAAGATCGTCGCCTCGCTATTTTTGGACTATGTTTGAAGACTCCTCCTGTTCAGGGACATGCCCGACTTAAACATACTGCGTCGACATACACAATCGGAGCCCTGCGCGAATTCCGCGGCGCTGCGCCGGATCTCCCTCCCTCTGGCGCGCGGAATTCGCCACTGGGGACGCCGGAGGCGCCGCTAGGCGGGCGTCGGCGCAGATCCAACAAATCTGCGCGGACTTTTTTGGGCAACGTGTTTCGTTGTTCCCCCGACTTGTGGAATGCTGCCCCCCAACGCTACAACGGATCCTCTTGGGGGTCCTGAAACGGTGCGACGGCAAACTGCACCCTGACCTCGAAACCCCAAAAGATGTCCGTGCAGTGTCCTCGCCATCCCGGGCGGTGCCCGTGCGGTGACCTCCAGCATCGCCCGTGGCGCGCTCCGCGCGCCAGGGAGGGGGGTCCCGCGCAGATCCAAGAAACCCGCGAGGAGCTCAGAAGTGAACGTTTATATCAATGCTTCGCTCTTCGAAGGAAGGCGTCCCGAGGCTGGGAAGCCTTCATTCGGGAGCCGACGAAAGTGTCCGAACGCCTCCGCCGCGCCCCCCTCTGCCCGACCACGCTCGGGTGCTCGTTGACAAGGGGGCAGAGAAACGCGAGGCGCAGAAGCGAGCGCCTTTCGCGCACCTTTTGCGGGGCCCGCGATGGAAGCCTAGGGGTCAGTGAAAGCCCCTTGAGGGCCACGTTCCCACACTCCTCGGTCCCTCGACATTTATTCCCGCCCCCTTTGTCGTCTGCCAGGCCCTCTGTTATCTCTGTAGGGAGCACGACGCCATCGTTTTTTTTATCCCCAGGGACGCACGCACCACGGTAACAAAAGGCACATCGAGCACTGTGACAACATCTGCCTTCGAGGGGAAAGCCCGCGCGCAGCCGCTCGACAGGAGACAAGGAAGCGCCGTGAATGCACAGTGGCCGTAAAAGCTACGGCCACTGTGCCGTCGGGGTTGGAGGCGGCAAAGGGGTGCTGGGGCCGTCAAAAATCTGCCAGGAGGGGGATGAGGCCAAATCCGCTCAACACCTCTCCCCCGAACCCTCCCGGGGCCCATCTGGTGCAATCTTTCCCCCCCCCCCGGGGATCCGCTGTCGGCGGTCCCGGGACCGGAAGCTGGCCCCCGAGCGCCGAAGAGAGGAAAGCCTCCCCGAACCCAGCGCCTCCTCCTCCTCCTCCTCCTCCTCCTCCTCCTCCTCCTCCTCCTCCTCCCTGGCCGGGACCAGCGCTGGGCCACCTCTGGCCCCGCAGCCGACTCCAAGAGGGAGGCACGAAAGGCGCCCAGCGGCCGCAAACGTTGGAGCACTCGCGAGAAAGCGGCCGCCAGGGCGAGCCCGACCTGGGGTCCCATGTGGGGCCTGCTCTAGGCAGGAAACATACCGTACACGGCTCTGCCTTCCCGTGCCCCTGTCGATCGCATCGGGAGGACCAGGGAGGGAACGGACACCCGCTTCCCTCGGCCGCGCTGTCTACAGGCGCATTCTCCCCGAAGGTTGTCTATATCCTTGACGACACCAAATTGTCCGTAGACGCTCGTGGCTAGAAAGGAACAGCGGTCTTTGGCGGAATACTAGTAGGCCCGAGATGTTGGTCATGTCCCAGACATTTGCAACGCCCTGATGTTTTCAATGCGGGGCCCCTGGAAGTTCCACCCCTTGCCCCTGGACCGGTTCTTCATCCTGAGTCTTTTCATCGGTCCCGAGGCCTGGTAGTACCAGAGGCCCCCAGAGGCCGAACATAGCAACAACAAACCATTCCCGTCGTCTTTTTTGTTCGCCACGCGAGGGGGTCTGGGTACTGGTCATCCAGAAGCAGACAACTCAGGAGAACAAGTATCGTGTTGCCAGGAAGGAGTTTGGAGGCTGAGGGGAAGGAGCAACAGCATCTGTATGCAATGAACAACACCCCCCGCCGCCTTCGGGTCATGATATCCTCATCTCTCCCGGCCCCCATCCTCCCAACCTGATAATTGTCCTCCCCAACAGCGTTGCCTTCCACAGCCCGGCCACGCTCGGGGATCTTCTGACCTGGGTCAATCCAGACCATAGGGCAATCAGGCCTTGCAGAATCCTGCAAGACAAGCCCGGGTCAATGCGAAGGTGCCTGCAAAATCCTGCAGGATCCTGCACCCAGACCCGGGTCAATGCGACCCTGGCCCATACTAGGGAGCCCACAAAGGACGCACGCGCCCAGCTATGTACATGAACACGGCCCCTCGATCCGTGAGACCGGCCGCGTTCTACGAACATTTGCGCAGTGTGAACTCTCGAAACCAGCGTGGATTCATGTACATGTACGCCCTTTTCCGCTCCTGACATACAGGATCCTGCAAGATCTGGCGCTCTGGGTGACCCCCGCTTGCACGGACCCCCACCCCCGCCCCTGGAGCGAAGGATTGCAAAAAAAGGATTGCAAAAAAAAAAACCGGATTGCAAGGATTGCAAAAAAACCCGAAGGATTGCAAAAAGGATTGCAAAATTTTGCAATCCTTCGTTCAAAGGAGGGTTTTTTTGCAATCCTTCGGGTTTTTTTTTTGCAATCCGACGCGCTCTCCGTGCACCCGCGCCGGCTCCTGGAGGGCACGTCCGGGCTCTCGTCGCGGGCCTCGGGGCGCCGTGGCCCGGCCGGGAGGCCGGGAGCAGCGGCCGCGGGGCGGCAGCACGGGAGGCACTGGTGCGGGCATCGCTGGAGGGGGGCAGGGACACACACACACACACACACACAAGGAAAGAGAAACAAATCCCTAGGATTCCCCCCTGTTTTTCCGCATCTTCTGGATTCTGGATTTCCGTCACGTCCCATATTTTCCCATCCGTACTTGGAAATCGGCGATTCTGAGTGTCTGTGTGATTTTCCCTCGTGGCCCATAGAGGGCTCCACCGAAGGCCCAAGCGGCACCGCCCGCATGCGTCACTCCCACCATGGGGGGCTCCATCGACAGCCCCAGCGGCACCGTCCGCATGCGTCACCCCCACCTAGTACAGCGTTTCGTGGCCCCACAGGGAGCTCCACCGAAGGTCCCAGTGGCAACGCCCGCATGCGTAATTTAGCCCCCAGCAAGTACAGCGCTTCGTGGCCTCATAGGGAGCTCCACCGAAGGCCCAAGCGGCACCGCCCGCATGCGCCACCCGCACCCAATACAACGTTTCGTGGCCCCATAGGCCCATAGGGAGCTCCACCGGAGGCCCCAGTGCCACCGCCCGTATGCGTCACACCCCCAGCGAGTACAGCGTTTCGTGGCCCAATAGGGAGCTCCACCGAAGGCCCCAGTGCCACCGCCCGCATGCGTCACCCCCATCCAGTACAGTTTTTTGTGGCCCCACAGGGAGCTCCACCGAAGGTTCCAGCGGCACCGCCCACATGCGTCACACCCACCCAGTACAACGCTTCGTGACCCCATGGGGAGCTCCACTGGAGGCCCCAGTGGCACCGCCCGCATGCGTCACCCCACCAGCGAGTAGAGCGTTTTGCTGCCCCATAGGGGGCCCCACCGAAACCCCCAGTGGCACCGCCCGCATGCGCCACCCCCACCCTGTACAGCGCTTTGTGGCCCCATAGGGAGCTCCATCGAAGGCCCCAGTGAGGCTACCCAACACTCGTTTTACAAGGAACTACTTTACTTTCTTTGTTGACTATGTTTTGACTATTTGGGACTATTATTTGAACAAATACTTGTCTGGAACGTCCTTCCCTGACTAATGTTTTGCTCTCTTTGGACACTCCTCCCGTAGAGGGACATACCCGACCTAGCTGTAGCTGTGGTTGTGGCTGTCTCTCGTGCGCGAGCTCTCCTGCAGTCGGGGAGTTGACCTAAGGAACGATACATAAGGAACGAGGCCTTTTTTCCCATACATTAAACTCCGATGTTCCATGGAAAACCTCAGGAAAACCCAAGGAGCACTGTAAAGCAACCAAGGAACACGGAGCCCCTCCCCAGCAAAAAGGGTTCCTTCTTCAGGGCCCCGACTGTATTCTCTTCCTCCAATAAGCTTGGGCTGCGCAACGGGGGCCCTGCCGCACCCTGGCCGTCACTGCCCGCCGCCCCCGGGCCCGAGCCGCGGCTGCGCCCACGGCAGCAGGAGGACAACGAGCGGGCCGACGCGACATGAAAACCCTACAGTCGAGGCGTTGACCTAGGGAGCCCTAACTAAGGAACGAGGCCCCTATTTTCCATAAGTTGAACTTCGATTGCGTATCGAAAACCTAAGGAAAATCCAAGGCAAGCTGCGAAACAATTAAGGAACACGGAGCCCCTCCCCAACGAAAAGGGTTCCTTCTTCAGGGCCCCGACTGTAGCGGGTGAAATTGGGGGCACGTGAATCAACGGCGAGCCCAGGGGGGGACGTGAGAAGAGGCGGGCCTTCTCCAGCGGAGCAGAACAGGGCATACACATAAAACTGTTGACGGTCCGCGCGGATGTCTTGGAAAACAGGGGCGTCGCCAGAGGCGCCACCAGTGGGGGCCCAACGCAGATCCAAGAAACAAGCGCGGAGCGCCAAAAGTTCATGTTTATGTAGTTGTTTGTTCTTCGATTCTCAGAGGGCTCGGAAATCCAGGGGCCTTCGGGGAAGTTTTCTGAGGCTTCCCCGAAGACACAGAAAACATCTCGGATGGCGCGAAGGCTTCTCAGAAGCCTCGCTGCCTTCTGAGAAGGCCTTCTCCTTCTCACTTCCCCACTCGCTCGCCGCCGAGTTCTGACAAAGCCAGAAAGGGGATAAGATCGGGTGAGGATAAAGCCAGAATCTCTGAGATCCGGCGGCTCTGGAAGATGTCTCGGGCGCCCCGCTATATCCAGAGCATTCCAGAACGCTCTGGAACGGATTGATCCTCGTCCTAGCCCCGTCCGGCACATGTTCCGACCCGAGATCCTGGCGTCTGAAGCTCGCTCGGAGCCGAGGATACTCGCAGAATGGTCCAGCTTGGACAAAGCCGCAGAAAGATGGGGCCCGGGGCTCTGGCCGAGACTTCTCGCGCTGTTGCAATTGCTCCGCGTCGCCGGATCTCAGGAAAGAAGCCTCCAGAGAAGGCAAGACAAATAGGTATCTTAGCCTTTGGGGCACCTGAGCTTTTGTAAGTTACAATCCACAATTCAAGACGACGTCCAGTGTATGCGACGCGTTTCGAGAGCTCTTAGCCCTCGTCGTCAGGCGCTGGCCCCAGTGACTGCCGCGCGGCGCACGCACTCTTTACACGCGCGCGCGACGAGGCAACATGCGATTTCGACTGATGGCACATCTGTGAGAAAGTATGTTGGCAAGGACGAAGGCCTTCACGATGACCGCCCGCCTGGAGGAGGGCCCCAAGCAGAGCATGTTGGACCCCGTATGAAGCAGGGGAGTTCGAAGTCCTCGTCGGCGCAACCGTACCTGTGACGAGCACCACCGCACCTGCCATCCACAACAGCAACCGCCGGTCCACCTCCCTCCGTAACTCCTGCTCGCCCGTGGGCCATCCCTGGCGTCTCTGGAGAGCATCCTTGGGCCGTGCACGAAGCCCGTCCAAAAAAGTCTTCCTTGATCTCTCGACCCTCGACTCTTCGGTCCGGTCGACTCGATCCGGGTCGGGGATCGAGGGTTGGGATTGGACCCGATCCTCGATCAATCCTCGATCGGAGGATCGGGTCGAGGTTCGCGGTTCGCGAGTCGAGGATCCCTGGCCCGGTCCTCGACTCCCACAGCACGTGGTCGATGGGAGCAAACGCATGGAAGAGCCTGCCTGGTCGGCTCCCCGGGCCCCTCCTGGCCCCTGCGGTGGCCAGCAGGGCTCCGCGCGCCTTGTCGCGCTTGGGCGGCCTCTTGGCGGGCTCGTCCGCGTCCTCGTCGGCAGCCTTGTCGCGCTTTGGGGGCCTCCTGCGGGGGGTGCGCCGAGCATGGGCAGGGTCATGCTCAGAGGGCACCTATAGATGGGGTCGGAGTAGATGGGGTCGAAAGATCGCGCCGCATCGGCGATGCATCGCCGCCGTGGGCGATGCATCGGCGACGACGATGTGGAACAAGTCGGGCTCCACATCGAGCCGCATCGGCGATGCATGGGCGATGCGCCGCGATCTTCCGACCCCATCTCTACTCCGACCCCATATATAGGAGGCCCAGGATGCTGGGCCCAAGGTTTCAGGTGAGCCTTCAGGAGAGCCTCTGTGGACCTCCGCGGCCCTCTCGCAAACGCGACTTTGACTGGACTTCGTCCAAATCTCGAACGGCATCTCTTCACCCTTTCGCCGAGATTCCGTCCGTCGTCCATGCGTCATAGATCGACGCTACATCGACGCTACATCGACGCTAATCGACGCCACATCGGCGCTCTCTCACCGATTAACCGAGGCTAGCGTACGCTAATGCACTCGCAATCGGGGGCGCCCATGCATGGATTAGCGATCCATGGTTTGGCGCGCGGTCGCTGAATCAATGGATCGGGGGAGGTGCCCTCCCCAAAAGGCGGCGGTGCCGCCTCGTTCGGCGGCGGAAATCTGCGATTTCTGATGGAAACGGGACCGGTGCTAATCAACGC